AGTCCCTAGTTCATGGGAAATTGGGGCAAAACTATGTTGCCTCATCTGAAGATCTGCAAAGGAGGAGGAACGTTACTCCCTCGGTCTCCACTGGATGCAACTTGCTATCCCAGCTGGTGGAACTTGTTATTTATCTGAAGCCTTTGGCTTCAAAGAAAGATTGGGAAAAAATACAGGCTCTCTCAGGAGAATGCTTGTTGAACAATTCCATGCACAACGCCACAATAGTACATTCTTTACTTCCTTTGCTATTTCTTCTGTTTTGACTGAAAATACCCTAAAATTGTCCTTCTTATTTTGTAGGTCAACTTTCTTGCTTTCGAGGGCCTTTTGAGGTTGATTCGGGAAAAGGGGGAACTCACCTCCGAGCGAGATCAACTTTTGGTTGAGCGGGACCAAGCCGCTACTCACCTCTTGGAACTGGAAACTAAAGCTGCTGAGGCCGTTGTGTTAGAGGCTCATTTACAGCAAAGCGGGCAAGAAGTGGTGACCCTTAGCCAAGAGATCACCTCGTTGAGTGTTCAATTTGAAGAAGCTAAGGCCAAATAGGTTGAAGTTCATAATGTCGTTCATACTGCATCCGATCGTGAGGCTGCCTCCGCTGAAAGATTGATCAATTTATAGGCAGCCTTGAATTCCAAGACCGAAGAGCTTGCTGCTACGGGGATGAAATATGCCCAGTTGGAGGAGAAGTATAGGAGAACTATTGAGTATAATAGGCTCTTTAGCTCAACTGTTCGTGACCTTGATGTTAGCCACCGGTTCGTGAGGTCCGTGCGGGAGAATCTTTCTACCGAGATTGACCAACTTAAAGAAGAGCTTCAACGCCAAGCGGCTTCCCTCACTATTGAGAAAAATCATTCTATGTATAACATGAGGAGAAAAACCTTGTAAAAAGCCAAAATGAGTATCATTGACTTTGATGCCAAAATTGCTAAGGCCCTTGAGCTGGAGTTAGCTGCAAAAAGAGGTCTTTCGGCCAGGCCTGATGCTACTGATTCTTCTGGTTCCGGTTCTGAGTTCTTGGGAACCGAAAGGTGATGATGCTGAGGGCAAAAATGATGAAGGACATGATATCGAACTGGCAGTGGATATACCCACTTCTCCCGAGGGTGCGGACGCTTCTCTTTCTCCGGGCTTCGGAGATGCAACAGTTTAACTTTTCCTTTCTTTTTCCAATTCTTGTACGTGTGCCGTTTTGACACAGTTATTGTTAAAAAAACATATTTTGCTCAAGTATTGCATGAGTTTCTTTATGTTCTTTTGTTTGAACATTTATGCAAGTTTTAACCTTTGCATTCTTTTTTGCTTAAGTGTTTTGCGCAAGTTTAACTGTTTGCTTCTGATTATGTAAAGCCTTGGGTGTATTTTTCCCCAAAAGCATTTGAATTTTGGGCACAAATTCTTTCGAAATCAACCCTTTAACATAAGGGTTTTCACAAATATTTGAGCAACTTTACTTTTTACGTCTTTTTGTGAAAGGCTTTGGGTGTATTTTTTCCCGAAAGAATTTGGATTCCGGGCATAAGTTCTTCCGAAATCAACCCTTTAACGTGGGGTTTTTCATAAGAGAGAGCCCTCTTATATTTACGGTGCTCTTGAAGAGGACGTCTCATGTTCATTACAACACTAACATTTGAAGTACTTGTTTAACTTTTAAATGATAAAGTCAATTCAAGAAACAAGATAGAAATAAAATGACTTCACTTTATTCCTTCAATTTTCAAAAAGTAAATAAGCATTCGATATGCTAAAAAGAAATTGCAATTACTTGTGGTTAACTTATACAACTTGTTTTAATGGGGCTAGCCGTGCAGTCCCCGATCCCGATGATACAACTATATTTTCGATTTTTGTTTCCCGATCGACGTGGCAAGTCATTGTTACTGTATCATTATATTACTCCCCCTAGTGTTCAAATGCGAAGAATGCGAATTGGAATACTAGAATGTTTGCTCCTTTGAGGATCCCACTAACGAATTACTAGACAATCTTCAACTTAGTAACAAACTTTGCTTCCCCTTAAGAATTTATGCTATCGAGCAAAAGATTAACTAACCGTCCCTGTGGCTCTTCGCTTGTGTGCCTTGTTATTAGAAGGTCTTATTTTTTTTGTTGAAGCTTTCTTCGTAGAATGCTTTCCGTTTCTGCCTCCTTAAAAACTTTGCCAGAAAAACCCAATTGGGACAAAAACTGGATGAAGGAAAAAAGAGTGCAGCACATACTTTCAGTACATGTGATGTTCATCAACAATAATATCTTTTGAGGTGTGCCATGTTCCAGTTGCTGGGAAACTTTTCTCCATCTTGATTCTCTAATTCGTACGAACCTTTCCCGCTGACAGCTAAAACCCGATAGGGGCCTTCCCATGTTGGACCCAGCTTCCTTGAGTTGAGCTCCCGGGTGTTTTGAGTTACTTTCCTTAGGACCAAGTCTCCTACTTTAGAATAACAGAGGTTGTCCTTTCAATTATAATATCGTTTCATTCTCTACTTTTGGACAACCATTCTTATATGAGCCAAGTCTTTGCGCTCATCAAGTAACTCCAAATTGACTAACATTGCTTCGTTTTTTGACTCTTCATTTGCTTGGAAATATCTCAAGGTGGGCTTCCCTACTTCCACCAGATTAAGGCTTCTGCTCCGTACACAAGGGAAAAGGGAGTTTCCCCCATGCTTGATTTTGCCGTTGTTCGGTATGCCCATAAAACTCTGGGTAGTTCCTCGGGCCATTTACCTTTAGTCGCTTCCAACATTTGCTTGAGGTTCTGTATAATCACTTTGTTCGTTGACTCCACTTGACCATTTGCGCTCGGATGGTAGGGTGAAGCTGTGATCCTCTTTATTTTCAAATCTTCAAGGAACTTTGTGATCTTTGTGTCGATAAACTGTGTCCCATTATCGCATGCTATCTCTTTTGGTATTCCGAAACTGCGGATTATATTTTCCCACAAGAAATCCACCACTTTGTGTTCGCCGATCTTCTGATAAGGACCTGCTTCCACCCACTTAGAAAAATAGTCAGTTAAAATCAAAAGAAATCTTACCTTACCGGGAGCCGGAGGCAGTGGTCTGACGATGTCCATCCCCCATTTCATGAACTGTCACAGAGATAGAACCAAATGTAGTGGTTCTGCTGGTTAATGTACCAGCGGCGCGTAACGTTGGCATTTATCATATTTTTGTACGAAAGCTTTAACGTCTAGTTCCATGCGGGGCTAATAATATCCTGCACTTTACCAGTTTTAACACTAAAGAGTCTGCGCCCGAATGGCTTTTGCATATCCCTTCGTGGACTTCTTGCATAATGTAATTAGCTTCAGATGCTCCCAAACATCGGTCCAGAGGGCCTTGGAAAGTTCTTCTATATAATTGGCCTCCTTTGAATCTATATCGTTCTGCTTTGACACGCAGCGCCCGGGATGCCACTAACGAATTGCTAGACAATCTTCAACTCAGTAACAAACTTCGCTTCCCCTTAGGAATTTATGCTATCGAGCAAATAATTAACTAACCATCCCTGTAGATCTTCGCTTGTGTGCCTTGTTATTAGAAAGTCATATTGTTATTGTTGAAGCATTCTTCGTAGTATGCTTTCCGTTGCTGCCTCGTTAAAACCTTGCCAGAAAAACCCAATTGGAAAAAACATTAGACGAAAGAAAAAAGAGTGCAATGCATACTTTCAGTACATGTGATGTTTATCAGCAATAATATCTTTTGAGATGTGCCATGTTCTAGTTGCTGGGCAACTTTTCTCCATGTTCATTCTCTAATTTGTACGAACTTTTCCCTGTGACAGCTGAAACCCGATAGGGGCCTTCTCATGTTGGACCCAGCTTCCCTAAGTTGAGCTCCCGGGTGTTTTGAGTTACTTTTCTTAGGAACAAGTCTCCTACTTTGATATAACGGAGGTTGGCCCTTCAATTATAATATCGTTCCATTCTCTACTTTTGGGCTACCATTCTTATATGCGCCAAGTCCCTGCGCTCATCAAGTAACTCTAAATTGACTAACAATGCTTCGTTGTTTGACTTTTCATTTTCTTGGAAATATCTTAAGGTGGGCTTCCCAACTTCCATCCGATTAAGGCTTCTGCTCCGTACACAAAGGAAAAAGGAGTTTTCCCCGTGCTTGATTTTGTCGTTGTTCGATATGCCCATAAAATTCCGGGTAGTTCCTTAGGCCATTTACCTTTAGCCGCTTCCAACCTTTGCTTGAGGCTCTATTTAATCACTTTGTTCATTGACTCCGCTTGACCATTTGCGCTCGGATAGTAGGGTGAAGATGTGATCCACTTTATTTTCAAATATTCATGAAACTTTGTGATCATTGCACCAATAAGTTGTGACCCATTATCGCATGCTATCTCTTTTGGTATTCCGAACCTGCAGATTATGTTTTCCCACAAGAAATCCACCATTTCCCGTTCGCCGATCTTCTGATAAGGACCCCCTTCCACCCACTTAGAAAAATAGTCAGTTAAAATGAAAAAATTCTTACCTTACTGGAAGCCGGAGGCAGTGGTGCGACGATGTCCATCCCCCATTTCATGAACAGCCATGGAGATAGAACTGAATGTAGTGGTTCTGCTGGTTGATATATCAGTGGCGCGTAGCATTGGCATTTATCGCATTTTTGTACGAAAGCTTTGACGTCTTGTTCCATGCGGGGCCAATAATATCCTGCCCTTACCAGTTTTAACACTAAAGAGTCTGCGCCCGAATGGTTTTCACATATCCCTTCGTGGACTTCTCGCATAACGTAATTGGCTTCGGATGCTCCCAAACATCGGGCTAGAGGGTCTTGGAAATATCTTATGTACAATTGGTCTCCTTTGAAGCTATATCGTGCTGCTTTGACACGCAGCGCCCGGGATGCCTTGGTATCTTTGGGATATTTCCCGTGCCCGAGATAATCGATGATCTCATTCCTCCAGTCCCAGATCAAACTAGTTGTATTTACCTCAAAGTTGCTATCTTCTTCCAGGACCAAGTGCATCAGTTATACTACCGTCCTGGACTCTGATTCCTTTATTTCCGTTGATGAACCGAGGTTATCCAGTGCATCTGTTTTTGCATTTTCTTCCCTCTGGATATGAGTGATCGACCACTCCCGAAATCGAGCCAACATAGCCTGGACCTTTACCATGTATTGTTTCATGCGTTCCTCTTTGGTTTCGAAGATCCCATAGATCTGATTTACCACTAGTTGTGAGTCGCACTTGATTTCTATCACCTCGGAATCCAGTGTCCAGTCCAGTTTGAGTCCTGCAATTAAAACCTCATACTTTACTTCATTGTTAGTTAAAGGGGCCATTTTTATGGCTTGCCTTAGGGTTTCCCCGAAGGCGTGGTTAATACTATGCCAAGCCTGGACCCTTTTACGTAGAAGGCTCCATTCGTAAATAAGGTCCAAACTCCCGAGGTCGATTCTGGCACCATTACTACTTCTTTGGTTGCTAGAGACAGCAAAGTCAACCAAGACTTGTGACTTAATCGCAGTCCTTGGTTTATATTCTATATCGAATTTACTCATTTCAACGGCCCATTTGGCCAACCTACCCGAGTGTTCAGGAGTGTGAAGGATGTTCTGCAGGGGAAATGTGGTCACCATAATTATCGGGTGACATTGAAAGTAGGGCCTCAGTTTCCGAGCGGCGACTACGAGAGCTAATGCCAATTTCTCCAAATGCGGGTAGCGAGTTTCTGCTCCCGTTAAAATCTTACTAACGTAATAAATGGGATATTACGTACCTTCATCTTCACGGACTAAAACTGCACCTACCGCTACTTCCGAGACTGCGAGGTAGACGAACAATATTTTGCCTTCCTTTGGTTTTGAAAGTAACGGAGGGCTTGATAAGTACCTTTTTAAATCTCTAAAAGCATGGTGGCATTTCGGGGTCCATTCGAATTTGTTTTTCTTTTTCAGCAGTGCGAAGAAACGGTGGCATTTTTCTGATGATCGGGAAATGAACCTGCTCAAAGCGGCCAATCTCCCCGTGAGCATTAGGACTTCTTGCACGCTTGACAGCTGGTCTGGGATTTCTTCGATGACTTTGATCTTATCGGGGTTCACCTCAATCCCCCTTGTGATACCAGAAACCCCAGGAATTTGCTGGAGCTGACCCCGAACGCACACTTCTCTGGGTTAAACTTCATGTTCTTCTTCCTTAGGATGTCAAAAGTTTCTTGCAGATGTTTAAGGTGTTCACCTGCATTCAAAGACTTAACGGGCATATCGTCTATATAAACTTCTATAGTTTTCCCTATTTGTTTTTCAAACATCTTGTTTACGAGCAGCTGATAAGTGGCTCCGACGTTCTTCAACCCGAAGGGCATCACATTATAGCAATATGTGCCGAAATTTATTATAAACGAATTCTTCTCCCGATTCTCCAGGTTCATCTTAATTTGGTTGTACCCAAAATAAGCATCGAGGAAACTCATTAACTTGTGCCCGGCTGTCGCATCAATCATTTGATCGATATTTGGCAATGGGAACGAGTATTCGGGCACGCTTTATTCAAGTCTTTATAATCTACACACATGCAAAATTTATTGTTCTTCTTAGGAACTACTACTACATTAGCTAGTCAGTCTGGATACTTTACCTCTCGGATCGAACCGATATCAAGTAAGCGAGTTACCTCTTCTTTGACGAATTTATTCCTGGCTTCCGCAATAGGGCGTTTCTTTTATCTTACTGGAGGGATGTTGGGATTCAAACTTAGTTTGTGTACAACCACCTCCGTTGGGATACCTGTCATGTCTTCATGCGACCAAGCAAAATAATCGGCAATAAATTTAATAAATTCAATAAAGTCAGACCTGAGCTTAGGGTGCAGTCCTGTCCCCAAATGGAATTTCCTTTCTAAGAACTCTCCAAATAATGCAACTTTCTCGAGCTCTACCCCCGAGCTAACTTCATTTGATTCGGGAGCGGGCACCGGTTCCTGTAGTTGCTATGCTGTGTGCTCCTTCCCTTTGCTACTGAAGACCGAAATCATATTCATCTCCCTTGCCGCCGGTTAGTTGCCCCTTATCTGTTTAATTCCTTCGGGTGTTGGAAATTTCAGCAACTTGATGGTACATCTCTCGACACAATTATCTGCCATTTTTATGATTTTTTTGCTAAGAAAAATGATCAAAATACGTTAGTAAAAGAGACAAGGATCAACTTAATTACACGGTTGTCTAGGCCCCACGGTGGGCGCCAAACTATTTATTCATAAAATGGTACAGTTGAATTTATGCATGGTTTCTAGACAAGTGAATTAATTCGATCCTGAAATAATAAAGTAATTAAAGAAAGGTGCAGTATTTAGCCTTGAAATTAAGATGAAATCACAAAAAACAGTAATTTCTGGGGCAGAGCTTCCGGGCACAACAATGATGAAACTAAAGAGCAAGAAAGTAAAATTGTATAAAACTTTTAATCAATTATAGCGTAAGTTTGCCAGAGAAGTCGTATCCTTTATAATGATAACAGAGCTTACTATTTATAGCTGCATCTAGGGAACAAGGTCCTAGAATCATGCCCTTCTTTAATGTCAATTATGAAGGCCATTGATGAAGGTGTAACGGTGAACATAAATGATAAGCTCTCTGTAAAGGGCAGCGTACTAAATGTTGTAGAATATTCTCCATTAAATGCCACCGGACGGAGAGTATTTATTGTATCTTTACGAGTGTCATTCCTTCCGGCGACAAACGGGATAATTGCCTTCGGTTCTAACTGTGCCTCGCCTTAGGTTCCACATGTCACTCTCTTACGCAGCCACTTAACATATCATATTTTATCCTATACAATATTATATATTAATAGTATATCAATTTTAACATCAATGTTTTAATATATCTCTATGATCTCTAATTATTTGATGTATTAAGCTTTTAGTGCTGAATTGAGTTATATAGCAGCTTGCTTCTCTTAAATTCCATTGTTTTTAGGCTATGATTTGTATGGGGGTTATTTTGTGGCTATCGAGTGTTATAAGTTTGGCCCGAGTGACTATAAATGAATTTTGCTCATTCTTATTTGGACTATTACTGAAAATTTAAGCCCAAACCTAAAACAACATGCCAAAAATAAAAAGGGGGATTTGCATCTATACCCAGTTTTTGGGTCACAACTTAACTTATACCCGCTTTATAAAAATATTGCAAGCGTACTTACTTTTTGGGTAACTTCAGATACACGGGTTTTGAAGTAGCAAGAATTTATGTCTGAAGTTTGAACTTCAGAATTTTTTGCCTGAAGTGTGACCTTATCAAAGTAAAACTTCAGATATTTTCGTCTGAAGTTTGGCCTGACTTGCAAAAGCAATCAAAAAAAACTTCAGTTCGTAGTGCAAACTTCAGACAAATTAGTCTGAAGTTCTTCAGTTCGTAGTGCAAACTTTAGACAAAATCAGCTTGTTATATTTGAACTTCAGATAATTTTTCCTGGCATGATAGTTGCAAACTTCAGACAAAATTTAACTTGGTAATGTCTAAAGTTTGGCCTGCAGTCCCAAACTTTAGTTGATGCTTCTTCGAGTTTTGACAATAAACTCTTATTTTATTATTTACGTACTTTGTGTTAGGGTACAAACTTCAGATAAATTAATATGAAGTTCTTCAGTTTGTAGTGCAAACTTCAGACAAATTAGTCTGAAGTTCTTCAGTTTGTAGGGCAAACTTCAGACAAAATCAGCTTGTTATATTTGAACTTCAGATTTTTTTCCTAGCATAATAGTTGCAAACTTCAGACAAAATTTAACCTGGTAATGTCTGAAGTTTGTCCCTACAGTCCAAAACTTCAGTTGATGCTTCTTCGAGTTTGATAATAATGTCACGACCCAAAATTCATTAAAGGTCGTAATGGCGCCGGACACCACTGTCAGGCAAGACAACACTAAATAGTTAATTAAATTCTCATTTTAGTATTTTTGAAATCGTAAATTTTACTTCAATTTATCTAGTAAAAGATGAATTTATAGAATAAATAATAATGTTTTCCAATTTCAATACTGAACATTCCATAATCATCCCAAAACTCGGTGTCACAAGTACATGAGTTTTTTCTAGGAATTTAAAATAAAATACAATAGCTGTCCGGAATACAAATTTGGACAGGAAAGAAAATACAATACTGTGAAGGAGACTCTGTTGGTTGCGGATCGTACATAAGATGCAGCTCACCTAAGTCCCTGTAATAACCGTGCCTTTGCGCCCATAAGGCCACTAGTCATATATGTACCTGCACAGAACGTGCAGTATGTGTAGTATGAGTATGTAAATCAATGCATACCCAGTAAGTATCCCGCCTAATCTCGAAGAAGTAGTGACGAGAGGTCGACTCCGGCACTTACTGTTGCCATCAATAATATAATTAGTCGTGGATTTATAAAAAAGGGGCAGTAAACGCAAGAAAATCATGAATCAAGTAAACAATTCCTTTGATAATAAGAGGTTTCCAAATTCACATTTTATAATTTATCAATTTATCTCAGACCATGGAGGCAATATCATTATTTATAAATTTCAAGGCAAGAAATACAAGCATGCACAAATCATGTCGAGGTCGTATGGCCCAATCCAACAAATATTTAAAATGTGCATTGCCAGAGGGTCGAATGGCGCGAACCATAGATGCATCTATTTAATTTGCCGAAGCGTTTGGCCCGTTCCACAAAGATAAACACATTCAAACAGTCCATCGAGAATTCATCAAGGGGGAATTATCCAAGGAAATGGCAATTTCTCTTTTAACAGTCAAGAAATGACATTTAGCTTTTTAGAAAATTTATTTACCAAGTTCAATATGATTTAAGCATTTTAAATTGACAACAAGGTTGCAAATATTACAAGTAGAGCATGCTTTTGGGTCCTAGACTACCCGGATTTAAGCATAATAGTAGCTACGCACGGACTCTCGTCACCTCGTGCGTACGTAGCCCCCACAAATAGGAGCGCATATTGATTTATTTTACCTATGGGATAAAATTTCTCTTACAAGGTTAGAAAGGAGACTTACCTCGATCCGAAGTTCCATAACCGACTCCCAAGACATTCAATCAACTCAAATCGATGCCTAACGCTTCAAAACTCATAATAGATGATGAAATCCCCTCTTCAAAAGCTCCAAAATCGCCCAACCAAAATGAAAATAGGTGAAATGAACCCAAACCCCCGCTTAAAAGCATTCTGCCCAGTCCGACTTTCGCACTTGCGGTCCAATAGCCGCTCCTGCGGCTCCGCAAGTGTGGTTCAAATTTCGCTCCTGCGGTCCTCACTGCCCATCCAAGACCTCGCACCTGCAGAAGTTTCTTTGCTTCTGCGAGTATCACAGGTGCGACTTGCTATGCGCATCTGCGCAATTTACACACCAATGGTAGCTGCCTCGCGCCTGCGCACACGCAGGTGCGCTTCTCCAGTCCGCTTTTGCGGTGCCCCCAGCTCAGACCTTCTCGCTTCTGCAAGAAATTTGCCGCACTCGCGATCTCGCACCTGCGGCCAAAGTCACGCAGGTACGATTACAGCAGAAGCATTAAACTTCAGAAATTTTTAAGTCCAAAAATCGATACGTTAATCTTCCGGAATCCACCCGAGGCCCTCGGGACCTCAACCAAATATACCAACACGTCCCAAAACACATTACGAACTTAGTCGATCCTTTAAATCACATCCAACAATATCAAAACTACGAATCACCCTCCAATTCAAACTCAATGAACTTTAGAACTTTAAGCTCCTACAATTGATGCCGAAAACTACCAAATCATGTCTGATTGACCTCAAATTTTGCACACAAGTCATAATTGGTATTACAGACCCATTCCTACTTTCGAAATTGGAATCCGACCCCGATATCAAAATGTCCACTCCCGGTCAAACTCTCCAAAAACCTTCAAATTTCTAACTTTCACCAAATGACCCCGAAATGACCTATGGACCTCCAAATCCACTTCTGGATGTGCTCCCAATACCGGAATCACCATACGGAGATATTCCCAGACTCGGAATCCCAAACGGACATTGATAACATTGAAATGCACTTCAACTCAAATTAATAAAATTCTTTCAAAATGCTAACTTCCACAATAGGTACCGAAACGCTCCCGGGGCATCCAAAATTCGATCCGAACATACGCCCAGGTCCGAAATCATCTTACGAACCTGTTGGAACCTTCAAATCTAGATTCCGAGCTCGTTTACTCAAATTTATACCTTAGTCAATTCCTCCAACTTAAGACTTCCGAAATTAGAATTTTCTCTCCAAATCAACTCCGAATTTTCTGAAATTCAATTCCGACCATACACACAAGTTATAATACCTGAAGTGAAGCTGCTTATGGCCTCAAACCATCGAACGACGCGCTAGAGCTCAAAACGACCGGTCGAGTCGTTACAAATAAACTCTTGTTTTATTATTTACGTACTTTGTGTTGGGATGTATTAATATTTGAGAGGCAGTGTCAAATCTTTCTTTCTTCTAGATTTGTCGCTTTGTCCAATTTCCAGAAACGATAACACGTGTAATTTACAGGATAACATGTTAGAGAGAGAAAAGAAGAAGAAGAGGAAAAGAAGAAGAGGAAAAAAGGAGCGCATAGGTTGCAGGATTTGAAGTTGTCAAAATTAGGGTATAGGTTAAATAATTTTAAAAATATGGATATAGGTTAAATGAGGACGACCAAATAGGACGCCCCATGCAATTTTTACAAATAAAAAGTATGAAAAAGTATATTAAAAGATTTATAATTTTTTTCCAAATGAAGTGTCCTGCTTGTGTAAAATGACGGTTTGATTTCGATCTTGGTTTAATTTATTTAGCTACTACCAAATAAAATTAAATTTATTGAGTTTACTTCTTTCAATACCATATCCAATCAAACAAAACCATAAATGCCTATTTTTAGGGCTTTTTTTACTTTTAGCCTGCGCCAAAAATTATTTATATTTGATAGCCAAAAATGTATATAAATTATATATATATTTCAAGTATTATTTTGAGGACAGCTATACATTATATTTTTTCCATTTTGTTTAGCGCTTGATTCGGTTTATGGTGGAGTCGGTTTCTTGGTGTTCATTAATACCCATAACTGCTATTAAAGGTGACTTCTGTTAAATAATGGTCACACAATTTACTCACAAATTATTGATGATTGAAGGTCATTACTGAATGATTTGGACAATCCAACTATTTGTGACGTACGTCTACAGAAATGCAAATCAAGTTTATTCAAATTAAAGCTTGACGAAGTTACACCACACGCGACTATGTTAACTTATTTAGAGCAGAGCCAAGTGGCTAATATCAAAGGGATAGGCATCAGTGGGTAGAAGAGCAGTGTAAGCTCTTTCAGCAGTGGCCTTATTGGGAGCTTCTGTTGGGTGAAAACCATCCCAAAAATAGTGTGATGCTCTATCACTGCATGCACTTCCTCCATAACTACACTGCCCCTTAGCTATGAAGCTCGAAATTTCACAGCATGGCTCAGCTAAATTTGTTATACCTGCAACCAAAGTTATGAAAATTAAATTAAGCTATATATACAAGATTTTGTATACTATCTATATAGTTTAATATATGATAGCGTGTTAATTGAGTACCATCTTGACTAAGTTACCATTTATGTTTGTGTAAATATTAGAGGGAAAAATGGAGAAGATAAATAATAATATTCTTTGGAATTACACAGATAATTATTTGTTTACTGTGACATGTTTAACATACCGATAGATGAAGGATCTCCAATTGCAATGCTTGTTACATTTATGTAGATGAAATTTGCGTTGGGCAAATTACTGTTGAAATCGTCTATCATTGGCTTAAGCTTGTCCACAAACTTTAGAACTGCACTATTTATAGAGTCGACACATACTGAGTCCTTTGTCCCATACAAATCCAACTCTGCTGGAATACAGCCTATGCTACCTAGCCCGAACACCGCAACTTTTCTTGCTCCGTAACGGTACAAAGTCTGTTTTGTTACCAAGAAAAAACTGGAATATATTAGTAATCTTAAGCAAAAAAGTCAAATGAAAGGAATTTGATTAATGGAAATTGTATTTGTACCTTTAATTGTTTTTCATATTGCTGAGCTAGGATTGTGGCATATTTTTCTGGTTTGTACAAAAGGCTTGATGGGTAGAACTGAGGCAGCAAATAGTTGTTGATGTAATCATTGTTCCCCATTCCAACAATGTATATACATTTGCTTAGATACTCTTGGATTAAAGTCATATTATTTTCAAGCAAAGTAGACATGTGGGAAATTGTCACTTTGTGATTTCGCAATTGCCTATTCAAGCTGATTCGATCTCCCTGAAAATCCAGAAAAAAGTAAAGAAAGAGATTTAAGTTAAGTTAGCTTAGGGGCAATCTAGCTACAAATGTAAGAGTAAAGCGCATTATATTTATTCTCTTTGAAAATCGAAAAAAGTATAAAAATGAAATGAATTCTTTTATATTTTTCTTGGAGTTATCATGGGCATCGAAAATCTACCTTTTTTAAAATAAAAAAAATCGAAAATCTACTAAAAGAATGTGAACTGTCCTTTGGTTATTCTTCTTATACTTTAACAAATTTTTGTTATAAGTGGTTAGCTCAGCCTAATCATCTACCGGAGTTTGGCAACATAGTATCCGAAAATAATTCTTTATGACGTGTTTGTTTGTGGATTTTGACTTGAAAATAAAGAGGTTTCAACCTTCAAGTTTGCGAACAAAATTATATAAGTTGGAACTCTTTTCTTTTGATCAAAACTGGAACTCTTTTCTAAGTACGTAAAAATTTAAGTTAACTGGAACTCTTTTCTAAATGCTATAGATCGTGTTTAACAACAGCTTGAAGTTTGCCTCTATCCAAAAAACTAAATAAGAGATCGAGTCTCATGCAAACGCAAACAAGAACGAGATTAAGATTGTCATACCCCTAGAGGAAACGAAAATTATGCGTGATCTCCAACGTACGACTCTTGTCTTACTACATAAGGTCATAAGCTGCTATTATATATATGTTGTTACTTATTTGTTATTTGTCCTTGATCTAATTGCAAATGCTCTTCTAGTCAAGGGATATATGTTGAAGTATTTTACCAAATGTATTCCCGACTCATCACGAATTCCAGCAGCACCAGATGCATAGTTCACCCCTCTAAACATCTCCACACCTTTCACTGTTGCAAATGGCTCAATATACTTATCAAAACCCAACAG